AAGTTGACTTTTGGTGACCCCAACATAATTACACAGTTTTTGTCAGTCTAACAGTGCGATAAATGGAGTAAGTGACGAAGCAATATTGTGGCTTTATCAGTTTCTGAGAAGATGAGTCTGATCCTCTTCATTGAAATCGAACACTGTTAATGGATACGCAACTTCCCCTCAACCACTAAATTAGACATAATAATAATTGTTGAATGAATTTCATCAATTAAAACGCGAAACATATTTTGCTTTGTAAGAATAGTTCTTTCCTTGTTATATTAACATTTTTTTTCACATACACGTCCTACTATTTACTCATAGCTGGGGGAGTAAAGGGATTCATAACGTTATCAAGGATATTTGAGCCTAAATGAATACAACGAGCCACAATGGAATTCGATCTTGGCTCTTCGATTTTTCAGTCCGTGCCGTTATCTATTACACCACTCGGACATGACTGGTACAAGTGTATAAGCGTAAGGCACCCAGTGAGAGTAGGAGTTAGTAGACTGTAGTAATAGTCTACGAGACTAAATCACCAACCATAATTCTCCTCTACATGATACCCGAGATATTTATTTAGCTGAGATTGGTTCACAATTACAGTTAGTTGTTTGTTGCTTGGTTGATTTTGTTTATCGGCATATCAATACCTCTATGGGTTATTTAATGTTGAAATCTAAATATTTTGAACACAATTGTATGCCTTCAACTAAGATAAAATATATTGCTGGTCATTTTTCTATAAATATGTATTGTTGGCATTTTTTTTTATAAAAAATGTATTTTATACTTTTATAGTGTGTTGGCTATTTGCCCATAGTTAAGGCCGTAACAGGTGATACCACCCCGGGTCAGGGTAGATTTAGAAAGAGTAGAATTTAAGAGGTGGTATCACTCTCATCGAAACGTTCAATCACACAATCAGAGGACTTGCTGCCGGATGTAGTTTATCATCATACCCAGGACTCGTATTGTTGGTAATTTTTTATGAAAAAGTATTGCTGGTAATTTTACTATACCAATGTATTTTTTATGCGTTTTTAGTGTTGCATTGGTTATCATTTTGCTATAAAAATGTATTGTTGGTCATTTTACTCTCAAAATGTATTGCTGGTTATTTTACTATAAAATGTATTGTTGATAATTTTATTATAAAAATTTATTGTTGATTTTTGGTGGGGGCATTATTCGCCCATAGCTAGGACCCCTAACAGGTGCTAACACTTCTGATTAACGTGGACCTGGGAACAACAGTAAGAGTTGGTTCCATGTTCCTCAACACCTCCAATCTCGCGATCAGAGGCCTTGCAGCCGAATGTAGTTTATCGTCTTACCCAGGACTTGTATTGTTGGTAATTTTTTTTATAAAAATGTATTACTGGTAATTTTACTATAAAAGTGTATTTTTTATTTTTAGTTCTGTATTGATTGTCCTTTTGCTATAAAATGTATTGTTGGTCATTTTATGAAAATGTACTGTAGATTTTTGCTTGGGGGGTAACTATTTGACCATAGCTAGGACCCTAACAGGTGTACCTGGGAAAAAAACTACAGTTAAGTGGTGATTGCACGCTCCTCAAAACCTCTAATCTCCCGATCAGAGGTCTTGCTGCCGGATGTAATTTATCGTTATATCCAGAACTAATTATAATTAGTACCATGTGCGTCATATAATAAATTACTCATGGTACGATAATGATTCCTTAGTAGACGACACTTTATATCGAAATTCCTCAGGTTTTATTCTAATAAATATATATAACGGCAATCCATTACCGTTCAATTATTTGTCACTGCATATTACTACTTACTTCATTCCAAGGTAGAATGTTACTGAAATTTTATTCATTGCTGAGTATTAAAATAATTCTGAAAGCCAAAGGGAAGTGAATCAGTTTAAGAGAATCGTAATCAGTCATCAGAACTTCTGGGTTTGCCTGTAATATCTGAAAGTAGTTTTATTTAATTTTAGGCTGTGAGTGATAACATTTGACATTCATTAGTAAACATACCGGAAGCAGAAATTACTTTAAGCTAGGAGAATTTTCAACTGAAGTATAAACATGTATAAACCCTGTAGACTCCTTCGTTGGTGTATAGTGCCATAGCCTCACCACATGAAGTTTTGGCTGATGGGGCTAATACAGATATCTCTCGATATCTATATCTAAAACGACTGTTGTTAACCGGGACAAAGTATGGCTTGTTAATTTTAAAGCTTCCAAAATTAAACTGATCTCTATTAATCGTCTGAGAGAACACTCTCTGCTTTCCATCATTCTTGGGCTAAAGTTCTCGGTTGACATGAAGTGGAATCATTATATTGAACTCATTGCTAGGTCAACTGCCAGGAAGACGATTTTTTATCTCCAGAATCTATCCACCCTTGCGAGAGGTATGAATCCAGAAGTCTACCATTTGTCCATGCTTAGAATATTGCTGTCACATATTGTCCGGTGTTCCTGAACTCTTTCATAAAATCCGAAGAAAATCAGCAATATTACTGGTCCCAATCTGGCGTCTCGGCTTCAGTCACTTTCACACCGTCGTATGATTACTTCCCTTTGCCTTTTTTACAAATACTTTCATGGTAATTGTTCGGATGAGCACTTTGCCATGGTGTCTAGACTCTTCGAATTTAAGCGCAGTACTAGATTGGCGACTAGGTATCGCTAATTTACAGTTGAGCTGGCTAGATGTAACTGTAAATTCTATACTAACAGTTTCTTTTCTCGCATTTCTCGCTTGTGGAACTCCTTTCAGGTGCTATGCTTTCCAGTTAAATTTAATCTACAAAAATTTAAATGCAATATCAATCGCAATCTGCAGTCCGCCTGATTATTCTTCATCTGTTCTTGTTCATTAGTAATGTTCCTTTTTCTAACTCTTCCACACCCAATAACCCCTTGCATCTCGGTGGATTTACAGCCTTGCTAGGGGTGAACTCGATTAAAAAATATGTATATAAAATTCCATCTCCCTAACGTGCAAAGCATGGCACGGTGTGTTGTTTTAGCTTTCCTTTAGCAAAGAATGATAAATTGCATATATCAAACGTATATCCTCAACAATAAAACATTAAATAACATTCAATAAAATAATACATTAATGCATTATTTTGCAAGTTAGATTCGCAGATTGTAATGAATCTGATCTGCCCCTTTTTTTCTAATCATTGTTATGATCCAGAATGTTGATGATATTTCATTATTCTAAAAATGATCTTTTCATCAGTGATGATAGAAAACAAGGATATTTCATCATCCCCTAAATAAAGATAAAAAATATCATCATCCTAAAAACGACATTACCACCAGTGATGAAAGATGAGCAAAATAGTACATCATTCTAAAATCTGATTATAAAAACGACCCTTTCACCACTATCGATGGCAGTCAGGCAGTAGGTTTAAATCGGGATAGTAGCAGTGGTAAAAAGGCCCAACACTTACGTATTCCACATCGCTCCTTGAAAATCGAAAAATGACGATCTCAAACGTTATCCTCACAAACGAAATTCTCGGAACAAGAAAAAAAAGCACGCACAAACTTTTAAAGAAACAAAAAAGATAGTAACACTGAGAACATTTTTAAGATACGCCATACCAAAATCTGCAGTTCACATCAGGAAAAAGAAAAATACACGTTCTTGTTATTAATGTCGGTATGTGACTCAAGTCTTATTGTTGTTATCGTTGTACGTTTTATGCACTTTATTTTCAGGATATAAAAAAGTAAAAAGGATTCCGCTATTAACTACTACTACTACTACTACAAATACATATAACAACGGGGTAACTACTACATCAACACCAACTTAACAACTTATCCCCTGTTACATGGTTTTGGTCCGCGATTACACCTAATGAATAATGTATTTTCTGGTCTATAAGACGCAAAGCTTACAAGGCTATTTAGGGAAGTATCGATTATCTTAACTTATCCAACACAATATCTGTTTTTTTTTTTTAAGTTTCAGTAGACTGCCTTCATAGTCCGTTGGAATATTAGCTGTCATCCAGTAAACAAGCTTCATTGAAGGCCTTGCAGTATTGGCATTTATTTTTTAAATTAACGCAATGTGAAACTACTGTCTTTCTCAAGAGGTCATGACAAAGCATGACATAATAAAGCAGTGACATATATGAGGATATACGATTGCTTAAATCCTGAAGGAACATGACATTAAAAACGAACTTCCAGTAAATGTGATATAGATTGTAACTGGCGATTTAACCCATTAATACCTGTATTCTATTGTAGATAAATATCTGAATTCGAATTTTGGCTTTTCAAAGCGGATATGTCTGCCTCACTATAGAGGATAGTGCCTCAGAATCTTTCGACATTCATTTGAACTGATTTGTATCTGAGACGGATGTATACATATAGGTATCGGTAGATTCAGACGTGTGTTTGTATGTGTGTTTGTTTCTGTGTCTGCGTGCATGTTTCAATCTGCGTCTGTGCGTGTGTGCTCTATTCAACAGAAAGTGAGTGAGAGAGAGAGAGAGAGAGAGAGAGAGATGAGGAAGAGGAGAAAGTGAATAAAAGAGATACTTAAAAGAACATTCTTGACCTGTTTTTGAGCGTAATTTAGTTTTCATGTACGTTTACAATTCCTACAATCAAAGTATTTAAACGTCTTTCCATGGTCAATTTTCTCAGTGAAAGAATTTGGCATTTATTTCAAAGAAATATTAAACTACCACCACAACGCAAACACACACACACACACACACACACACACACACACACACACACATATATATATATATATATATATATATATATATATATATATATATATATATATCAATCAAATGAATTAATAGACTTTATTGAATCCGACGTTATTTTATTACTGTCAACGGTAGAGCACATTTCACTTTGTTAAGTCCCTCGAATGCCCAGGTCGGTAGGTGTAATTCATACTGTGGAATAAAAAAAAACAAAACAAAAAAAAACAAGGCCTCAGACATGTGCATCGACTAAAATATTGTTTAGAGCAAAAACACATACACAAATCTATCTATCTATCTATCTATCTATCTATCTATCTATCTATCTATCTATCTATCTGTGTGTGTGTTTGTGTGTGTAAAAATTTAAAGACAATATGAATAAAGACAGAAGTAAAACTTTTCTTTAGCAACACGTTTCGTCCTCTGATTGACTTTTTTAAACTTCTGTTTATAAATACATGTTGCAAAATAAAATCTTTACATTTTTCTTGATAGCAATCAAAGTACGAAAAGCGTTAGTAAAGAAAAGTTTTCTTTTTGTCTTTATTCATTTATATATGTGTGTGTGTGTGGCTGTGTGTGCGTGTATTTAGAGACTCTTGATAATATATATATATATATATATATATATATATATATATATATATATATATATATATATATATAAGTGTGTGTGTGTGTGTGTTTAGAAATTCTTGATAAAATCAAAAGAAGAATATGTAATGTTATTGGACTTGGCATCTCGGCTTCAGTCACTTTCCCACCGTGGTAAAGTAGCTTCCCTGTACGTTTTCTATAAATATTTTCATGGTAATTATTTGGATGATTTTTCCACTTTCGTTACTAGTCATTATGAATATTAGATTGGCAACATGGTCTCATCATCTTACAGTTGAAATGGCTAGATGCAGCCGTAAGTTCTATGCTAACAGTTTCTTTACTTGCACTTTGATTTTTAAAAATCTAAATGCAATGTCAATCGTTATTTTCTATCATAATTCTTGTTCTTTTAGTGTTATCTCTCTTGAATAATGTTTTTCTTATCTCATATTCTCTCAGACTCAGTAACATCCTTGCGTCTTAGTGGCTTTATTGCCTCGTGTGGGGTGAAATGATTGATTTTTTTCTATAGTAACCTCATTAGCAATGCATTTACATTAATGTATAATAGTTTTATTCTCTCAGTTACGTATACATTAGATCTTGACTATGAACAATCCACTTGTACAGGTTTTAAAATGAAAGGAAAGGAATAGTTAAAAGTTATTTGTAACGGTAGAAGATGTAAAGACCCTTGATCATGAAAGGACTTGGTACATCAAAAAGAAGTCAGCTGGGTGCTTCATACTTTCGGCCTTGTGCCACATCTAAAGATACACTTAGAAAATCACCAAGTCAGTTTTAGAAGGAAATAATGTTTTTCTTGAACCCAAATGTAAATATATAACCTTATCATTTATCAGCAATCGAAAAGTGCGACACCGAGATACGAAGGCGTATTGAGATAGCCAAGTAATCATTCCAAAAGCTAAGTAGAGTACCAAGGAACAAGAAAATATTGCTAGAATTAAGGAAAAGAGTACCAATCTACTATTTGATATCTGTCCTCCTGTATGCCAGTGAGTGTTAGACAATCTTCTCAAAGATGAAGAAGAGACTTGAAGCAAGAGAAATGTGATTCTACAGAAGGATACTGAGGATACTGTGGACCAAAAATGTGAGTAACAACGAAGTTTTTGAAGAAAATAGAAACAAAAAGAAAACTAATACTTAACATCAAGAAGATACAGTTGAGGTCTCTGGGGAATATAATGAGGAAGGAGAGCTTGGAAAATCTGATACTCACAGGATGACCCGAGGGCAAGAGAGACGGAGGAAAACAACGCATAACAAACTTAATGGGCTTCAGTAAATGGATGTCGGAACAGGGCTTAGGAGAAATAACAGAATGACAAAGTTTATTACAAGGACAGGAAGCTGTGGAGAGCCATGATTGCCTACGTCCTGAGGGGACACGGCGCATAAAGATGAAATTGAATAAACAACACTAAAAGCAGAAAGTGATCAGTGTTTATAACACTGATCGTGAAAATAAACCGTGATTGATTAAATGGATGTATTTGTTAGTTCACTTGTGTGTATGCTTTGTAAAATGTAAGTTTGCTAATACGTAATTATTCACGATGATAACAAATACACGAGAGATATTACGATTAAATTGAAACCAAATTAATTCTATATACTGAGTTTGTCTGGGCATATCGAGGCGGTGTAATGTTTAACACGCTTTTCTCACTAGAACAATTACAACTAAGTGTCCCATACTTTCGGCCTTGTGCCACATCTAAGCCGCGCTTGGAAAATCACTATACTGGGTTTGTCGTGTAGAAAGATGACCAACCTTCTTTAAACTAATTCTTGAACCTGGACTCGTCCATCAGCTATGATTAGAACCGTCTGCTATTTGGAACTGTCTTAGCAAAGTGGGTTGTCAGGAGTAGCGTTTGTCTTGTACGCATTACCGCGCTGAATTACGGTATTCTCTCTATTACCGTATTATTAATCCATGTCTCTCATGTGATTAAGCCTGTTCTTCACTCAACCTTTTGTTCCGGTGTTTGCTTATAGTATTATTAACCAGAACTACGAGCGTTAGACGAACTTTATAACAGAGTTTGATCACATTCCGTTGATTGTTATTGCCAAATCAAAAACTCCAGTGAACAAAAGAAACAAAAGAAAATCATGGCGCCGGGCAAAAACCATTTAATAAGCTTTAAAGTACGAGAATGTAATTTATTTTGCGTAGGATTAAACTACGCTCGAATATTCTTGTCTCTTGCAAAACAAGGAAATTAAATAGCGTGTTTTTTTAAAAGTTCCTATTGGCCATTATTTGGTGTGTAGCACTGTGTCTACAAAACAGATTCTCGCGTGCACGTTTTATGCCAAAGAATGGAAAATCCATTTCGAATCACGAACTGCTTTTCGACATTTGGAACTGGAAGATATATTCTAAGTCATGCAACGTGTGATTGACGAAAGAATTCTTTCAGGATTTTTATGGCGTCGATCATGAGGAGTTCCTGTGCTTTTCGGAACGAACTAATTTTAAAATGCACGCTAATTACTTAGAATTTATCATTTCTTCTTCTTCATAATTGTCTATATTTTCGTGCCTCAGCGTTTTTATCTGTCGAACGTACAATAAGACTTGATTCGCGTTTGGATATGCGGACAAGTGCATCTAGCAGGGTTTGTTATTGATCGTATTTGAGAAAATCAAAAAGACTATCAGTAATTTGCTTGGTAGTACATTGAAAAAATGACAGAATAGTTTATCGAAGGGAATAGCACGCATATTAAGAAAACGTTTTGAGTAATATGTTTCCATTATAGAGTTTTTCTTGAGCTGTCACAGATTTAAGTGGTGGTTTCTTAAAAAAAAAACCCCCAAAAAACCCCAAAAACAAAAAAACGTTGTCCACCATATGTAATTGTCAGTAATATAAAAGTAGCATTTGTGAATGCAATAATCTAGAGGCTAAATATAATATCTATCTATCTATCTATCTATCTATCTATCTATCTATCTATCTATCTATCTATCTCAGTCTATGTATCCCAGTCTATGCATATCTATCTATCTATCTCAGTCTATGTATCCCAGTCTATGCATATCTATCTATCTATCTATCTATCTATCTATCTATCTATCTATCTATCTATCTATCTATCTATCCCAGTCTATGCATATCTATCTGTATATGTCTGTTCATATCTATCTATGTAGATATTTTGTACAAGTTTGATTAAAAAACAATGTAAGGACTTTATTTTTTTTCGGACTATTTTCCTAGTTTCCTGGGAAAGTTTAAATATGAATTTCATCAGCCACTTTTTTGTTTTTTGTAGTTTTTCAGTTTCAATGTATTTTCAAATATTGCGTCTTCACGCGTCATGCCTTTTTTATGTATCGCGTCTTCACAAACCAGTTCGTGCTGGTTGATTTTTTTTTAATCTATGAAATAAATTTAATATGTTTATTCTTGATTTTGATTGCATATTAATGATGTTGGGATGTTTTTTTTCTGATTAATTTCGAGTGTTTGTAGCCATTTTTTAAAGAAGTTTGTGCGATTTAGTATTTTTCTGTAATTTGTAAGGACTTGTCTGATTTCTTATGTTTTGTCGTAATGCTGGTTAGTATGGTACGATTTAATTTAACAGCTATCGGATACATGACAAGATAATCGTTATTAAATAATAAAGAATCCTTAAGAACTTTTGTGGTCATTAACTAAACTTATTGATTGCTTCAAACGTCATTATAGTGGACGTATTTGAAATAGGCGCTTCAGTTTTATTTATTAAACAGTGTGTATCATGTCTATTGTCATGCGCACTCAAGAAACATTATTAATGAAAATGTGTTCTCCGACAGGGATCGAACTTTTGCAAAACCCTTTGAATATGCAGCTCAGATTATTTACACGAAGAGGAGAAATACATTGTAAACGCTTTCAAACTCCTCCAGTACCCTAATTATTTTATATTCAATGCGAAACAAAAGGCCCATAAAATATTCAAAACAAAAAAAAAATGACCCGTGAGAAATAAAAGATTATATGAACACAAAAGGGAATTTTTACAAAATAATACATCAAATGCGTTGGTTGCCCACCGTAACGAGACTGACCACAATTTTGACATAAAAATTCTTCTCTGATCAAAGGAAAAATAATTCACTACGACGGCCACAAAGTGTCCTCAATAATAAGCTTTGAATTAATAAAAATATCGAATTGAAACAAATGAAATATAAATATATATATATATATATATATATATATATATATATATATATATATATATATGAGAGATAACGATATATATATTTTTTGGTATATCAAGAACAGTATTGGGGAAATTGTATGACAAAGTGGAAAAAGTTTACTTCAGGACTTCATCGGACTAAATTTTGTTATGTTCGTAGGACTATACATGCGAACGACAGAGGGGTGCTGGGAATTTTACAATTTTATTTTTATTTTTTTCATCTAGCCGAATCCATTTAGAGTCCTTTTCTTTTTCTTTCCTTTACTTTTGTAAGTAGGTCTTCCATACTGTGATATCAGAAGATCTACCAGGAATGATAAAATGTTTTAAGAGCCAAGACGCAAATTTACTGTAGATGACCTTGCGATTAAGGCACTCTCTAGTCATTTACGTTCTAGTGAATTATTTTTTCATAATTATTTCTTCAGAGCAGCATTTTTTTTATGTCAAAACTGTGGCCAGTTTCGTTACGTTGAATAACCAAAGCATTTAATGTATTATTTTGTAAAATATTCTTTTTGTGTTCATATAATCTTTTATTTCTCAGGAGCAGATGTTTTGGTATATTTTATGGGCCTTTTCTTTTGCATCTCTATCTATAAAAGGCAGGATATGTGTGTGTGTGTGTGTGTGTGTGTGTAACGAATGCACGGCCGCAATTTTCGACGGATTTGCACCAAAATTTACATGCACATGCTCCAAGTTAGCGGGAAGGCCAAGACCGACATTGCATTTCCTAACTACCATCGATAGTGGAAATAATCGATTTTTTCATGTTTCTACGGCAGTTTTCATGTAGTTAGCGGCCATTTTGTACTGGCCAGAGTGAGAGCCTATAGTTGGCTGCCACGAATAGGCAGGAAGATTCTATTGGCCAGCGTGAGAGCCAACAGCTGACTGACACGAATGTTAACTAGCATGCAAAAAAAATCGATAGCTGAATTCGTCACAAGTGGGAAAAATTTAAATCTGCATGGCACTTTACTCCAATTAGCTCATTCGCTTGCTTAAACTCAACCTTGATTATGATTCCGCAGAACTGGGTTGGGTGTGAAAAAGTATTTGTTGTTAACATTCTTTTTTCATTCGGTTTTTCCAGTTACGAGTCCTTTTTTAAAGCTGATCATTTTGTGTTCATTTTGTTTAGTTCTTTTTTCGTAACAGATTTAATGTTTAGTATAGAGCTTAGAAAAAATTCGCAGTGTGAGATAGGTAAGAAGTAAGGCATGTAGCAACATCAGCACGGCAAAGGGCACTCCTTTAAAGGCAAGGAAGGGCAAAAATATTTTAAGTCAAGTGATAGCGATTGCTGTATGAGTTGTAAGATTTTTGAATCAAGCACGGCAACGCCGGGCCATGCTGCTAGTTAGAATATAAAATAATTAGTGTACTAGAGAAGTTTGAAAGTGTTTTCAATGTATTTCTCCTCTTTGTGTAAATAATCTGAGCTGCATATTCTTAGTGCTCTTAGGTAGACTCCAGTGATTATGCCTGATTTTATTTTTTTGTTGCGAACAGAAATTTATTAGGTCGTTTTTTTTTGGTTGATTTCAGGTGGACACCAAGTTTTAAACTGCTGTTAACGTGGTGTAGCTAAACATCTAGGAAGGGTAAGGAGAAACCTGAAACACAATGAATTAAAAAAAAAATGCTGCCTAATAATTCTATCACATCAACAATCTAAACTCAGTATTAAATTTGTTACTATTACATCCAAAACAATAAAAGACTTAGTCAATACTAAACAAAACAATAAGCTAAAACCTGAAAGAAGAGTTTCGCATGTAATAACTGCCACAAAAATACATAGGAGAAACTTCAAGGAATATAAATAAAAGATTATATGAACACAGAAGGAACATTTTAAATTGACTCTGATCGATGAAGTCCTGAAGGATGAAACGCATCACAAGTAAACTTTTTCCATATATATATATATATATATATATAAAAGAAATATGTTAAAGTGGTTCCAACAAAAAAGAGAAGGATTTCCGCAAATTTTGTTGTAATTGGAAAAAAAAAATATTAATTTCTTTTACGGACTCACCTAAAGTTTTGGTAAATCTCGCAACCGTCTTAAAAGTGGAGCTTACATATTAAAAATATGAATAATATTAGCATGTTTGTGTGTGGTGACCTTGACATTCAGACCCATAGTAGCAAAACCAGTCTGTCCCACTAGCAAACTCAATAACTTCTCTAGACATAATATTGCAACCATATACTAAACAAATTAAAAGCCACATCAGAGACGATATCCATTTCCTGCTGCATACCACAAAAGGAAGATCCGGGAACGATTATGGCAACTTTGACATCAGTAGCCTATCCAGTAACATACCCCATGAACTAGGGAAAAAGTCATCGTCTCATTCTTTCCCAAAAACATCCAGAAATACTACATCCGAGATTCACATGTCCAGTTCACACATCGATAGTATAGACCTAATTTGGACAATAATACACCTTTGAATTTGTGTAACAAAACTATATCAAACCCTAGGTACTTGTGCGTCCATGGGAACAAAATTTGGTCACCCTGTGTGCATATGGCACCCCAACATTAAGTTCGAATTAGAAGAAAAAGTTTCTTCTGAAAAGATAGATACAAATATATGGGATAAATATTAAAGACCCTATTACATTTGAAAATCTTTGTGATAAATATTGATATCTAGATGATTGTTTATCTTTTGGAAATCATCATTTAAGATTGATAATAAAAGTGTACCAATTCATACACTACTTCAAACTTACACCCCAAAAATCAAATTCACGCAAGAATATAATTTTAACGGTTTAATATGTGTTTTAGATTTACTCATTAGAAATAAAAAACAACCACATAATCACAGATATCTACCACAAACCCACACACACCCAAAATCATACGTTCATTTTTAGAGCCATCACCAAAAAAGCTGCCTGGGAAATCCATCCCCTTTTCCCTAACACTATGAATTTGTTCAATTAGTTCATTTTACTGATAAACATCTCCGAAAAAATCCTTTGTTTATTAGAAGAACTCGTTTCTTGAGAGTTTTAACTCTTCAAGAAACAGAGATGTTTATCAGTACCATTGTACAACACGTAATAAACAAAAGGGGATTGATTTTGTGAAAAATGAAATTTTTTTTTTTGTAGATATTGAAATGTGGTTGTTTTTATTTCAAACTCTAGCATATGTCTTGCAACGTATATTCTTGCAAATTTGAAAACAACCCAGAAATATTCCCAGAAATCACAAAAAATGAAGAATTTAAATTAGCAAGAATAATAAACTGAATAATATACAAAAAACAACCAAAATAATTAAGATAAATATATATTTAGAAACCTAAAACACATATTTGATATAGTTTTTCCAATTTAGTCAAAGGTGTTATTGTTTAGGGAGTCACAAAATGCAACAAAAAAAGATGTTTTAGAGTTTGTGACATCATTATTAACAAAAAGGAAACTCCTAAACTTTTGAAAAAAACCAAAAAAAAACATTCACAATAAACAAAAACTTAAACTGCAACTCCAAAAATGTAGTTTATGCATTAAATGCACAAAATGTAAGAAGTCATATATAGGCATCAGCCAACAACTGAACAACAGGGTCTCCCTACACAAAAGCAATATAAAATTGACAGACAACAGAAAACTTTTTGTATCACAACACATTTTCAAATGTAACCAGGGTAAGTTTAATATCATGCCGATATATCAAACAGACAATTACTCGTATCTACAAAATACAGGAAAAAAAACTTTATAGACAAATTCAAACCCGAACTGAATAGATCAAACCCCCCCCAAAAAAAAAAAAAAAATGCACACAGGGTGACCAAATACAATGATCGCTCATTTACATGGACGCACACTCATATACGAGAGACACGAGGAGAGATATATATATGTGGTACACATACATACATTTATGTATATATATGCGGATGTTGACAACTTAAGAAGTACGTGTGTGTGTGTGTGTGTGTGTGTTATGTGTGTGTGTGTGTGTGTGTGTGTACTGGTTCCATGTAGCTTTGGGAAATATGTGTGTATGTGTGTGTGTACTGACTACTTGTGGTGGGATAGTGTGTATGTGCGTATGTGTGTGTATGCGTGTATAAGTACAAATAAGTTTACGAATTCCTCGTAGTAAAAATATACGCACGCATATATACGCATGCTGACAGGAACACGCCAAAATAGAAACAGATCCAAGAGCACATAGAGGTCACTAAAACATTAAAAGATTAAATGCCGATAACTACTCGCTGGACAAACCTTAATTGTTTTATGACCTTTTCACGCAGAACTCTTCATTGACAATTCTAGAAAGAAAATTCGATTGCCAACACACAAACAGAATGTCTCATATCGAGAATATTCCACATTGAACATGAAGAAAAATTAATTATTTTTAATAATATGTAAAAATCTCCACTTTCACCTGAAGACGGTTGCGAGACCAGACCAGAAACACGTGTCGTGAAATTATGTAAAACAAAGTATAATATTTTTTCTCAATAAATCCACATTACAACCAAAAAACGTTTGCGGCACCCTCTTCTTTTTTAATATATATATATATATATATATATATATATATATATATATATATATATATACACGTTTTATTAAAAACGACTGACAAGATACTGTGGTTATGTTTTTTTTAATTTAATTTTTCTTGTGTTCTTATATTTTTCTTCTTTTCTGGACGTAAATTATGTAAAAACTATCCAAATGTTTTGTATGTTCGAACGCTTTCAGCAATTATCAAGGTTGGTTTTATTTTTACTTTTAACTGAATGTATGGTTTGTTTTATGTATGTATCTAGAGTTATAGAGATATTTTTTTTCAAAACACGGACATACATTGTGGCCGTGTTCATAGCTGATGTTAATGAATGCTGGCTTTTACTTTTTATTAATAATCCTTCCTTTATTTTTAGCTTTTTTTTTACTTGTGAATGAGGCTATTATATTTGTATTATCCTCGGTTAGAGTTTAGTAGGACCCCATGGGTATTTAAATGAGACCTAACTGAGCTAATCTTCTACCTAGTCAACCATGGATCAAAGAGACATTTTCGCCTAAGCGTGTATCATGTATAGAAATTAACTGGCTGATTTCCAATTTGTAATTTGTATTTTGTACTCATCTTTTTGCAAGGTTAAAAAACCATAAGCGAGATCAAATTTGAGTAAGAATTAATGATTTTCAGATTACGACGTTGATGATGATGATGTGCCTGTGTCGGGGTGTCAGCATCGTTCCCAGTGAGAGAGATTTGAGAAAACTGTCATTTAATTCCTTGCGATAACCACATGGAATGGAGCAAACATGAAAGTCTATGAAATAAAGTAAATATGGCAAGTTGTTTGAAAAGGGGAAATAAAAATAGACACGACAGAGAAAGGAAGAGTAATTCATTGGAAATTATACAAACGCCTTGGATTCGATCATGTGAATAAATTGTATTGTTGAATATAACAAATGCTGAACTCGTATTCACGTTTATGAGAAAGAATAACGTTCAAGGCGATCACACGCTTTCACTATTTTAAATAGAATGTTACGTCGCATACGTACATATATATATATATATATATATATATATATATATATATATATATATGCATGTACTTTGCATTGTGGATAGATATTTTTTACGCGAATATATATATATATATATATATATATATATATATATATATATACACACATATATAAGGGAAATAAATATAAGGAAATAAATGAAGAAACAAGGGTAGATAGATAAACCAAGACATATATATATATATATATATATATATATATATATATATATATATATATATATATATGTGTGTGTGTGTGTGTGTGTTATTTGTGTGCAAGTATATTTTGTATTAATTGCCCACTAATGGGCCTGTTAATGCTTAAATAAAATGTTATTTTTCACATTGTTTAAAAATCTATTTAAAAAAGTATGTAAATGAGGAGACTTTTATGTACTTAAGACAGTATTATATATATATATATATATATATATATATATATATATATATATATATCCATATATATATATATATATATATATATATACACGAAGTTTGCATGTATATGTTTGTGTCTCCTTTTTCTCTCTCTCTCTATATATATATATATATATATATATATATATATATATATATATATATATATATATATATATATATATATATATATATATATATATATAATATATGCAAATATACGTGTATATATATATCTATTTATATGTACGTGTATATATATATTCGTCTATATATATATATATATATATATATATATATATATATATATGATGAAATATAGTTTAAGGTATGTTACATACATTTATGCGTTAAAGTGCTCAATACTAGGGATAGGCCATATATACATATAAAATCGCTATTGAAGTCAACACACACGGTTGTTTTTGCTAGAAAAAGTCGAGAAAATGCACAGTGCCAATGGCCTGAAGATTGCGTTTAGCATGAAACAGACCGTCTCCTCTGGGTGTTGACGTCAATGTCCATTTATATATATATATATATATATATATATATATATATATATATATATATATATATATATATATATATATATGTATATAAAACATTTGTGTAAGATTTCCAGTACAACCAAGAAGGCGTTGAAATAAAATTAATTTTTCTCTAGGTATCTCTCTCTCTCTCTTTCTCTTTCTATCTATCTGCATGTACCTTTACTATATATACACACATACATCCATACATATAAAACCTCTGAAATGCTTAGAACAATTGATCCAGTTTCAGCTCAAATCTCATCTGAAGCGATAGAATTGAATTATTAGAGTTTTCGCTTCTTCCGCTTGTTATCCAATATTAACCTTTGCACGAATAACAAGCTACAGCGTACGGCACCAATTCTCTAAGTTAGAATAAACACTCAATCTTCGATGTAATATGATACGCTACGCCCTCACATAAGTATACAACATGCATGAGTTCAAAACCACTGGTTTCTCCAGAAAAACAGAAATAAGTCCACTCTTAAATTTTGCGATCCAGACTGACTATTTCATTCATGTGAATGTCAATATCCGATTGTCATTAATAAAGATAAAGTGTTACGGTCGTGCCGATAATAACTGACGTACTTGGAATCGTGCTCAAACACAAGATTAGGAACGTTGGAAATTAAGAATTGAAATTGCCTAAATCACTGAGTTCTCACGTGGATACAGTGAATGGTACTAATGTGTTGAATTTATGATTTATACAAGAACTCAAAGTGGCTGATTTTGTACATGAAATAATAATAATAATAGTAAACAACTAACATAGAGGACTACAAGCAAAAATCTTGAAAGCTATCTTGAATTAAACAATAATTGGTTACTAGAAATTGTTCATTAGCATTAATATACAGTGTAACCCGGATATAAGAGAGTTGTCGTGACCGGAGAAGTCTCTTATATCCGGGTTTCTCTTATATCCAGGTTTGGTCTATTTTGTTTACATTAACACAGGCTCTAATTTGGGACCAGAGAAAATCTCTCTTATATCCGGGTTTCTCTTATATCTGGGTCTCTTATATTCGGGTCTCTTATATCCGGGTTTCTCTTATATCCGGGTCTCTTATATCCGGGTTACACTGTACCTACATTCAGTTATGAAAGAAAGCCAAAAATTCAAACTAAACCTACAACTACAAAAGTATGACGAAAAAGGAGTTAAAATATCAAAAGTAGCGGTCGAAAACATCAAACAAAAATAAAACAAAAGCTTAACTCGCCTGAAAACTAAACGCAAAGATTGTTTGATTTTTTTACGGCTTATCAACTCTTTGCAGGTTATTTAAAGACAGAAAATATTTTTAGATTGTAAGAATTTTTTTTTTTTTAGATAAGAATGGTTTATTGATAAAAGACTTATTAATTAACCCATAGCTTGAGGGAGAAGAGGTGGATTCATATATTTCCTATACGTTAGAGAGTATAGCGAACCGAACGGGAATTGGAACTCGGCTCTTTGTTTAACAAATCCAAGCTATTATCCATTACACCACCCGCACATCCAAGCTTACAGTAACTGATATTCCCAAGCTGTCACCTATCTAGGTACTGACCTAGCCCGTCGTTGCTTAACTTCGGTAAGCATACGGGAACGAATGTTTCAACGTCATGTGGACGTGAGAATAAATGAAAAGGAAATAGTTGATACACCTAGTGAACACAAGTCTAACCAATCATATATATATATATATATATATATATATATATATAAAATATAAAATATGTGTGTGAAGAATGTATTTATAAATAGAGGTAAAAAATTACCTTGAGTTTCCGTTAGCATGATGTATATGAGCGTACTGAAATTTTAAAATTCTCAAAAACTAACAACATTTTTATTTTTGTTTATAAATATTTGTTGCAAAACAAAATCCATACATTAACCGTGATAAAGTCTAGCGGAGGACAGAAACACATCAGTTAAAATAGTTTCCTCTAATCATATTGTCTTTTTACAGAAATATTTTAGTCATACCTGAATTTGACACAGACAATCATTATCTCTCTCTCCCTCTCTCTCTGCACACACACACACACACACACACACACACACACACACACACACACACACACATATATATATATATATGCTAGACATATGACATTGCCACACGCCTCTCCATCTCAATTTATCTTTTGAAAATCACTGAACCGCTAAAATTTTTCTAAATAAATACTATTTCATTTTCAACTGATTTTCCATTTATATATATATATATATATATTAAGGCATTAAAAACAGAAATGTTGTATTGCAGGCCATGATAAGTTTAAAATAAAACACACACCAGTCGACCGGTTTCGTTCCCTCTCGTCAGAACTGTTAACGGGGAATTTAGATTATGAGGAAAAAAAAAAAAAAAAAAGTCTGTCATGGGTGACATGAATGAATGGACAGGGAAGGAAGGAAAGATAAAATTATACCAACCAAGCTGCTAGAAGCGCAGAACAGCAAGTCCAAGCAAACAATCTCTTTGTTTGCAAAGAGAAGGCCGCTTGGACCTGATGTAAAAGCGATTCCAACACCTTGAGATGGAAAAGAGTGCGAACTGGCCAAGACGGAAAACCAGTTCACACTGAAATCCATCGCACAAGTTGGATTCTTTATAAAATGATCCGCAATCGAAGACCCATAAGTGTTACGAATGGTATCGCCCAAAGAAAATTTTTGTTTAGTATTATCGCAGGTACGTGTTGTTTAATTCTCATCCAACCGCTGTGTCGTTCTACCTGTAGTCGCATCCACAACTACATTTGAAATAGTAAATAACAGAGTTAATATGGTGGGGGTAGAACATCTTTACACATAGATGGAAGTACAGACCTAGTTTGAAAAAACAACACGAACGTTCGCTGCAAAATAACACTCACGTGAACTATATGAAATACGCTTGGCGAAGGATTCACTAATCCTACCCAACCACGGTAAACGAAGATAGACGACATTTACCAACTGAAGCAGGTTTGATTTTGTTGAACCTAGCGGTCTCATCTCGAATAACCGATTGAACAATGTTCAACGGATAACCATTGTTCCAAAGATCTCAGTTAAACAACTGATTTCATGTTTCAAGGTGTCATCCGAACAGATCATTAACGCCCTATGTGTTAGGGTCCTAATCAAATTAATCTTTTGTTGTTTAGGACAAAAGGAGTCCCAACGGGTATATAGTCCTGTAAAAAGTAGACTTCCTGTACACAGAGGTAATAAACAAGGAAGGAGTTCTTTGAACAAGAACATCTAAAAAGGGCAATGAACCATTGACCTCCTTATCTACTGTAAATTTAAGGGCAGGATGAACACCATTGAGTAGGAAAAAATTGATCCACTTCCGATTCATGGCTGAACACACAAAAAGTGTCATCAACATACCGAAAGTAAACCTTGGGTCGGGCAGAACCATTCTTTGGTTATTACTAAACCGGATAAGGGATCTGGTGTTGTCCTCATGGACCACCATGACTACATTAACAAAATGTTAACTATATTGAATGACCCTTCCAAGTTTCAACGTCTTGGTTCCATTGACACTCATGATTCTACATATGGCTTCTGGAAATTCGATTTCAAAACGTCTTGTCAAATGGGTAAAAGTGGTGTTCTTTCCTCTAAAATGGCGGAGGAATTGAGACCGTCTGGTTCTATTCGTCCCCGTCTATATGGATTACCTAAGATTCATAAGGAGGGTGTCCTGTTGAGACCCATATTATCGATGATTGGGTCTTCACAGCATAAAGTCGCAAAGTGGCTTTTCATAATGTTGCAACCAGTGTTGCAGCATTACAGTTCCTTTTGTATTAAAGATTCATTTTGGGACAGAAAATTCATTCGGAATTGTGATGCCACTGATGGATTTATGTGTTCCTTTGACATCTGTAGCCTCTTCACTTGTGTTCCTTTATCGGAGACTATTGATATTTGCAGCGATATGTTATATCGCAGTGATTTGACTCCTCCGAATATACCTGAAGAAGTGTTCGTTGAAGTCATGAAATTTGCCACTATGTTTGTCGATTTCAGTTTCGACAATATCATGTATCGTCAGATCGATGGTGTAGCGATGGGTTCCCCTTTGGGTCCTGTTTTGGCAAATATTTTGTGGGTTTTTATGAAGAAAGCCTTTTGTTAAACTCTGCCCGACCCAAGGTTTACTTTCGGTATGTTGATGACATTTTGTGTGTTCAGCCATGAATCGGAAGTGGATCAATTTTTTTTACTCAATGGTGTTCATCCTGCCCTTACATTTACAGTAGATAAGGAGGTCAATGGTTCATTGCCCTTTTAGATGTTCTTGTTCAAAAGAACTCCTTCCTTGTTTATTACCTCTGTGTACAGGAAGTCTACTTTTACAGGACTATATACCTGTTAGGACTCCTTTTGTCCTAAACAACAAAAGATTAATTTGATTAGGACCCTAACACATAGGGCGTTAATGATCTGTTCGGATGACACCTTGAAACATGAAATCAGTTGTTTAACTGAGATCTTTGTGAACAATGGTTATCCGTTGAACATTGTTCAATCGGTTATTCGAGATGAGACCGCTAGGTTCAACAAAATCAAACCTGCTTCAGTTGGTAAATGTCCGGTCTATCTTCGTTTACCGTGGTTGGGTAGGATTAGTGAATCCTTCGCCAAGCGTATTTCATGTAGTTCACGTGAGTGTTATTTTGCAGCGAACGTTCAACCAAACTAGGTCTGTACTTCCATCTATGTGTAAAGATGTTTCTACCCCCCACCATATTAACTCTGTTATTTACTATTTCAAATGTAGTTGTGGATGCGACTACAGGTAGAACGACACAGCGGTTGGACGTGAAATTAAACAACACGTACCTGCGATAATACTAAACAAAAATTTTCTTTGGCGATACCATTCGTAACACTTATGGGTCTTCGATTGCGGATCATTTTATAAAGAATCCAACTTGTGCGATGGATTTGTGTATAACTGGTTTTTTTTTGCAAAATCTTGGCCAGTTCGCACTCACTTTTCCATCTCAAAGGTGTTGGAATCGCTTTATCGGAAGGTCCAAATAGTTTTCTCTTTGCAAACAAAGAGATTGTTTGCTTGGACTTGCTGTTTTAGCGCTTCTAATTTGCTTGGTTGGTAAATTTTATCTTTCCTTCCTTCCCTGTCCATTCATTCACACACACCCATGACAGACTTTTTTTTTTTTTTCTTTTTCCTCATAATCTAAATATATATAGTTAACAGTTCTGACGAGAGGGACGAAACCATCTGGTTGTGTTTTATTTTAAACTTATCATGGCCTGCAAAAACATTTTAGTTTTAATGCCTTAATACGCTTTTGTACCGTTTTCAACCTATTTAAATATATATATATATATATATATATATATATATATATAAACGAGGCTATTCCACAATATTAATAAACAAAGGTTTTGAACTAGCAGAAAAAAACATCTCTACACCAACTCCGAAATAAAAAAAAAAAAAAAAAAAAAACAAAAAAAAAAAAACCCCAAAAAACCCGGGTTCTATATATATCTCAACATACAATAAAAACAATCCAGAACTATTTACAGAAATTACAAGAAATCTAGACCTACTTAACAAGAATGACAAAATGAAAAATATACTAAAAACAGGCCAAAATAATTAAAAGTAAACGCCAATCTAAAAATCTGATACATATATTAATCTCATCCAAATTTATCCAACGCAATATACGGGGAGCGGGGGGGGGGCGGTCACAAAATGCAACAAAAAAGATGTGGGGGTTTGTGATGTCATTATAGAAGGGAACTCCTACACCTTTGAAAACCCCACAACAACATTCACAATAAATAAAAATTTAAACTGCAATTCCAAAAATGTGATCTACACTCAAATGCACAAAATGCAAGAAGTCATATATAGGTATCAGCCAAACAGTTAACAACAGAGTTAGCCTTCACAAAAGCAAAATCAAATTACCCGACAGAAATCTCTTTGTATCACACCGCATCTACGAATGCAATCAAGACAAATTTAAAATTATGCCAATATACCAAACAAACAACTACTCTTTCTTACAAATTCAAGAAAAAAAACAAAAAAACAAATAAACAAAAACTTCATAAACAAATTTCAACCAGCACTAAACAGACAGCATGCACACATGATAGCCAGATACACTGGTTGGACCGCATACATACATACATACACGTACGCATGCGCAAATAGGTATCCGTGGAGAACAAAATCTATATATATATATATACATACACTGGCAAAAACAGATAGACTACTCACATGTGAGCCTTACGCAACACAGGAAAAATGTGTATGTATGTTAGTGTGTGTGAGTGGGTCGTGTATATATATATATATATATATATATATATATATATATATATATATATATATATATATATACACGCATATGCATGTATATGTATGTGTATGGTGATTCATGTGTAAGTTAACGGGGACACGCACGCCACGCACACACGATACACAGAAATGGAAATAGATTTGAAGTCTCAGGGGTGATGTGGGGATAGGGGGTGCACCTCTCATCAACGCATCAATCATCGCCAACACTAAGACTAAATCTAATGATTTTATCACCACTTAGGCAGAAATTTATTTTTGCT